TTTGTATTTTTACAGTGAGATTTGTTTTATTATATTTTTCTACATTTTCCTTGCTATTTAGTTAAGCCTTGCTAGTACATTTTTTTTATTTTAAATGGTGCTGAACCCAGGTGATCTTTGATCTCTTTCATATTGTTCAGGTAGATCTCCACCTCTCAAAGGTTACCTACCCCTGGTCTAGAGACTTGTCTTTTTTGTAATTTATTGCTTGGAAATCTTGTAACAAAAGAGGGATGGGGCCATGGGATACTCCAAAACACTCAGAAACATTAAGCTGAGTACACTCTTCTCCTTGTGGATAGAACATAGTCTAAACCCTAACAGCTGAGGATCATGAGGCAGTCTCAGTTCAGTCTAAGGCCTTAAAGCTGAGGATCATGAGGATAGTCTCTTGGCATCTTATTACATTGCACAGCTATAGGTAACCAGTGCAGTTTCTGGGGTGCTGCACAGTCAAATAGGTCAATCAGGGTAATTTATTCACAGGTTCCCAGGACAGCTGCCTCCTTCCAGCTTCCTGGACAAGGTCCAGTGAGTAGCAATCTCCTTCCAGACCCAATCCTTTGGTAGCGAAATCCTGAATCCAGCTTCAGATGAGTCCCAGGTCTTAGCCCTGCCTGGCAAAAAAGCAATTCAAAACAAAATGTGTTTCACTGGTAAAGAACCCCATGAAGCCTTCAGAACCTTTTCTGATGGGGAAAAGATGCAGTCTCCTCTGGGCTTCAGGCTATTTACCACCTCCCTGACCACCTTCTGGGCACATCTCCCCAGAGATTGGCAAGGGCATGGTAAATATTCATGCCAGCTATTTGAAATTCTCACCATAAGCTCTGTAAGTTTCTACCAAAGGTAGGGGGAAACATTCAAACTCCGAGCCTGTGAAATCATAAACAGACTAGAGAAAATTGTTACTGTTCCCGAATTACAGAAGGAGCCAAGAACTAGCTTTACCTAGCATCTTACACTAGGGGGGTGCTACAATTTTGTGTGTGTGTGCCTGTGAACTTTCCTTGACACCTACACCTTGAAAAATCAAGCACCTAGGCATGCACACTGCTTCTACAAACATTTGTGAAATTATGAGCTCAGTGAATTTAAGCGTAGTACCGTGATAGGTTGCCATCTCTGCTATAAGTCCATCCATGAAATTTCCTTTCTACTACATATTCCACGGTCAATTGTTAGTGGTATTTTAACAGTATAAGCAACTGGGAACAACAGTAGCTCAGCCACAAATTGGTAGGCCATGTAAAATGAAAGAGTGGGGTCAGCATATGCTGAAGCGCACAGTGCGCAGAAGTCACCACCTGTCAGCTGAGTCAATAGCTAAAGACCTCCAAACTTCCTGTGGCCTTCATATTAGCACAACAACAATGCGTAGAGAGATTCATGGAATGGATTTCCATGGCTGAGCAGCTGCATTCAAGCCTTACATCACCAAGTGCAATGCAAAGCATCGGATGCAGTGGTGTAACACACTGCCACTGGACTCTAGATCAGTGGAGATGTGTTCTCTGGAGTGACGAATCACACTTTTCTGTCTGGTAATCCGATGGACTTGTCTGGGTTTGGCGGTTGCCAGGAGAACGGTACTTGCCTGACTGCATTGTGCCAAGTGTAAAGTTTGGTGGAGGAGGCATTATGGTGTGGGGCTGTTTTTCAGGGTTTGGGCTTGGCCCCTTAGTTCCAGTGAAGGGAAACTCTTAAGGCATCACCATACCAAGGCATTTTGAACAATTTCATGCTGCCAACTTTGTGGGAACAGTTTGGGGATGGCTCCTTCCTGTTCCAACATGACTGCACACCAGTGCACAAAGCAAGATCCATAAAGACATGGATGAGCAAGTTTGGGGTGGAGGAACTTGACTAGACTGCACAATGTCCTGACCTCAACCCGATAGAACACCTTTGGGATGAATTATATCGGAGACTGTGGCCCAGGCCTCCTCATCCAACATCAGTACCTGACCTCACAAATGCGTTTCGGGAAGAATGGTCAAACATTCCCATAGACACACTCCCAAACCTTGTGGACAGCCTTCCCAGAAGAGTTGAATCTGTTATAGCTGCAAAGGGTGGGCCAACTCAATATTGAACCCTATGGACTATGGCTGCAATGTCATTAAAGTTCATGTGCATGTAAAGGCAGGTGTCCAAATACTTTTGGCAATATAGTGTGTGTATATATTTTTTGTTTGTTTTTGTTTTTTTTTGGGGGGTGAAATTTTGTTTTTATTTATTTTCTCTTTATCTATCCAATCATAGCCCTGACTGAGAAGTTCTGCTGTTACTATAGTGGTGGAAAGTAGATGGTCAGAACCTGGCTTCGGTATTTGGTAAGGGTAATTGGATTAGCGGACTGGCTGAAAAGAAGAACATGTTTCTTGGCAATTCACACGCAAGTAATTCAACTATAAATTTATCTGTTTCCCTATATGTACATTTTTTAAAATACACCTCTGAAAATGAACTTCTCTTATCATGGCAGATTGAATCATGAGTGCTCTGCAATTTTAGCAGTGTTCACATCTTAGCAGTAGTCACGTACCTTTGAAGTTAACAGACAATATCTCATTGCCTTTAATCACATTTAAAAAGCAATTCACAAATAAAAGGGGATGAAAAGGATAGTATATAAGCCAATCAAAAAAAATTAAGGTATTACCATAATTATAATATTTAAAGAACCCATAAGTAATGTATTAGCTAGTCCGGACTTACATCACCTATTCCTATTACACAATATTAATACATGGATTTTATTTCCTGAATTCTTTAATTAGACATTTTCTTTCTTGGGAAATAATAGAGCAGACACAAAAATGGCATCACTCCCAGCCTTTAGGTTATTCAACAGTAAACTCCTGGAGGATGAAAAGAAGAACTTGGTAATTAACAGGAAAAGTGGAGTACAAGTGAGACGCTCCTGGCAAGCTACCTCTAGCTTGGGAGATGTGTGAACTTTTCTTCTTGACACAAGTACAACCAAGTGCCATCAGTTCCTCTTGGTTTCTCATGCACCAATACAGACATATAAAGTTACATCGCCTGTGAGATCATTAACATATATTGTGACCCTGCCAAACTACAGTTGTAGAGCTTGTTGTGTGTATGGGAAATGGTGTTCCTGTTAATCATCAGACATGTAATTGTAGCAGATTATGATGTTCTCATGTAGAAGAACCGTGCATCCCTGTACTCAGGGCCCATGAAAGTGCAAGAATGTAATTTAGAAAATCCCAGGTTGGTACATGCAGCCTACTCATTTGTACTGTAGAAATCAGAAATGGCATACAAACCCATATCTAATGGCATTTGATTTATTAATTGTGGAAAGTTTGGGTTTAAGTGATAAACTCATCTGGAAATCCATAAAGCTTGATTTTCTGCCAGTGTCTCTGTTGTATCTGCATGGAAATTTTTTGTCAAATTTTCTGTATTTTACCCTACTTCTGAAATGTTTCCTTACATCCTGTACATGTGATGCACATATGAAAAATAAACGGTGCCACTGTAAATTGGATAGGAAGGCACAGACATCAAAACTTTATCAGAAGATCTAACCTCTGTTCATGCTACTAAAATAATTTTGCTTTTATCTGGGATTTCCTATCCCTCACTGTCAAGACAAGAAGTGAGGGGAAATCCCCCCAAAAGGGACACAGATGTAAAAAAAAAATACTGACAGCGTTGCTAACCTTTCCCTTTCCTATTAAAAATGGAAAAATATAATCCAAAAAAGAGAGCAGTACTTACGAGTCTTGAGAGGTGATCACACAGTGAAGATTTTATTTTGATGTTTCGATGAGACACAATCTTGTCTTCTTCAGGAAAAGTAGTATTTTTGAAAAACTTAAAGAATTAATTTAAAAAAAAATGGCAAAAAAATAATAATCATCATATTAATTACACGTGTTATACTCATGTCTGTGTTTTATTATATTTGAGAAATATGCCACTGTATGCTGATATTTTTATAATATATTCTATAAATCCAACATGTACACATGCAAAGTCAGCCCCACAGACAAAGCTATATTAACTACATCCACTTACATATACTGTACTTTGCAAACTTACAGTCATTTTATTTTCATTTATTCATTTATTTTTGCATGTTCAGCAAATTATCATTATTCCATTATTGTGAAAGTAACCTATAGCCTAGTTCTGGCTTACAGGATGATGGAAAAATGAAGGAAAAAAAATAATATAATAACATAGATTGTGATAAGTTTAACCACTTGACCTCCGGAAGATTTCACCCCCTTCATGACCAGGCATTTTTTTTTGCTATTCGGCACTGTTCTACTTTAAACTGACAATTGCAACACTGTACCCAAATGAAATTTATATAATTTATTTTTCACTCAAATAGCTTTCTTTCGGTGATATTTGGTCACCACTGTGTTTTTTTTTATTACATAAATGAAAAAAGGCCAGCAATTAAAAAATAAAAACAATATTTTTTTATTTTCTACTATAAAGCTTATCCAAAATATTTAAAAAATCTAATTGCTTCATGAATTTATGCCAAAATGTATTCTGCTACATATTTTTGGTTACAAAAACCCTAATAAGGGTATACTTGCCTAACCACTTGCCTACAGGGCACTTATACCCCCTTCCTGCCCAGGCCAATTTCCAGCTTTCAGAGCTGTCACACTTTGAATAACAATTGCGCGGTCATGCAACACTGTACCCATATGAAATTTTTATCATTTTTTTTGAGACAGATAGAGCTTTCTTTTGGTGGTATTTAATCACCTCTGGGTTTTTTTTTTTTGCTAAACAAACCAAAAACCACTGAACATTTTGAAAAAAAAAGTATTTTCTTAGTTTTTGTTATAACATTTTGTAAATAAGTGATTTTTCTCCTTCACTGATGTGCGTTAATGAGGCTGCAGTGATGGGCACCGATGGGCTGCACTGATAGGTGGCACTGATGGACACTGATGAGGAGGCACTGGTAGGTGGCACTGATGGGCATTGACAGGCCTCACTGATGTAGCACTGAAAGGCAGCACTCATATATGGCACTGATAGGCAGCACTGATAGGTGGCACTGATAGGAGGCACTGACTGGCACTGCTAGGTGGCACTAACTGGCATTGTTAGGTGGCACTGATAGGCAGCACTGACGGGCACTGATAGGTGGCACTGATTTGCAGCACTGATAGGTGGCACTGACTGCACACTGATAGGTGACACTGAAAGGCAGCTCAGATGGGCACTGATATGTGGCATTGATGTGCACTGGTAGGCACTGATATGTCACATTGATTTGGCACTGATGGGCACTGGCAGGTGGCATGGATGAGCACTGACAGCTGGTATTGATGGACACTGACAGGTGGCACTGCTGGGGCTACACTGATCATCAGGGCACACTGATCTGAGGGATACTGATTACCGGCTCTCCTTTCCTCTCGAGCTGTCAGCGTGACAGCTCGTGAGGAGAGAAATGCCAATAAACGGCATTTCTCTATTTACATGCGATCAGCTGTAATTGGACACAGCTGATCACATGACCGAACTGAAATCTTCAGCTCTTTCCGTTGACTGGTGATCCGCTGTGTCCAAGGGATGCAGCGCACCACCGATCGCCACGCTGCACTCCCCCGGAGCCGCGAATGCGTGTCCCAACAGAATGTCTCTAAATAATAATAATATTAATATCTTCCACCTCCAATGTCTTTTAGGATGATCCAAACGAAATTTCCAGAATCTTCATGTACCTCAAAAAATAAACTTAAATAGTGTATTACATTTTATAAATGAATAAAGTGCCATAAACCGTGTATCATGCAAACTGCATAGCCAGTGCACTCAAAGCACACGTGAGAGAGAAAGAGGGAAAAAAAATAAATAAATAATAAATAAATAATTTAAAAATAATATATAAATATTCAAAAAAATATCAAAATAAAATAATAAATGCAAAAAATGTTCAGTAACTCCAACCAATGCACATGTGAATGCTATCCAAGCGTAACATTCCAAAATATAAAAACATATGTGATACACTCCACAAAGTGTAATAAAATGTGTAATAAAAATATTAATTCCCAAATAGCAAACAATATTAAACTGTGACACAACTTGCAAACCACTCCTGTGGTTTAAATAGTGAACTAACCAAACACAATCTAAAAAAGATTGGTAATGAGAAAATTGATTGTGAACACAAAATATCACTTCAACTGGTGCAACAATGGATAATTACCATACCCAGATTATATTAGGCTTTCTCCAAACAATGGATGGCAGCACTCTCCATGATCTTAAAACTCCTGTTGCCGCTCCTCCATGTTCCTCATAAAGTAAAGCCAGAGATTAAGGATGGTATAAATAGATTAAAATAACATTTATTACATTTCTTACATTAAAATTGAAGAAAACAGCTTCCAACATCAGATGTGATACAATTGAGGGAAAAACCACGTTCCCAAATCAAAGATGGCCACGGCAGCACTTCCGGTATAGCATCAGTGTGCATCAGACTCTATACCGGAAGTTGATAGAGGTGGTATTGTGCTGTATTTGTATGATTAGAGGCGGTTAATTCGTTTGTGTGAAAGTAATAGCATCTACAAACTATGAGCTATATAATGGAATTTGTATTTATTTGTACTATTAATGGTGGCAATCAGCAACACTAATACAATGATCAGTGCTACTAATATACTGTTTAATAATATAATGTTTACAATCACAGAGCTCTCTCCTGTTATCCGCTCCACCGATGAGCGGTTCCTGGCCATAACTGGCCCGGACCCACTGATCAACTCATGCTGTAATGAATCACAGCACAGATAGGGTGGTGGGCGCGCTCATCCCCTACCCGGAAAAGCCAGATCATGTATCAGATAATTGATCCAGCTCAGAGCAGCAGTATATGTGTGTGGGGTGGTCTACAACTTGTTAAAGTGAATGTAAATCCTCATACTGAAGTTCTGATTTGTTCCCTGTTGGTCTTTTTACTAACTGTACTACTAAAAGATTTTTTTATACATGATCAATAAATGCAAAAAATACTTGTTATTCATACCAGAAATACTATGAGATGATAAATTCCTGTGCTGCCTGTCTCTGCTGAATGTTATCAGTTAGTATTATTCCCAAAGAACTACAGAACACCTCGTACCGATGTGGAGGGATTCTGTCACCTTCTATACTAGGGGGACAATGCTGCTCCTCCATCAATACATTATATTAAGTGAATGCTGTTATCCAAGGAGAAGAAATGTGTTACTGGTAGGATCACTAGGTGAAAATATAGGGAAAAAAAAAGCCTGGGAAAATAAACTAATGCAGCCACCACATCTAAGGACTAGTAGCTACAATATATTACATTTTTGTTCGTAGGTTAAACTGATCTTTTATTTTTCCATGATGCCCATCACAGCTTGTTGCTTTTATTCTATCCATCAAGTTAAATATATTAGCCATATTTACATAGGAAATGTTACATAAAGGAAAAATGCCTTGAAGGACCGATGCTAATAATGTCATAAACATTTGCTAACATTGTTTGCTTAAACCTCAGCGTGAACTGAGCGAAATGTGTAGCAGAAGAAGCACCTCATGGCATAATGAATCATTGACTGAAAATACTGTAATTAGCTGAATACGGAACTGTTTGTTAAATGATTTGTATGAGGCAAGCGCATTTTTTCTAGAATTCAGTAGATTTAAGTGGTTGATGTTGAAGTTGATGTTAATACTTTTGTTACAGTAGCAGAACATTTGAAAGATTTCACTCACAATGAACACAGTTTGCGAATGTATAAGGCATGCAGTGTTTTCATTATAATGCATTCTCTGCATTTTTCATTTGAAAATGGATTCATGAATTAATTAAAGGAATTAACCATAATATTGATTATTGCAGCATGCTGTACATAAAAGTCATTTCAGAAAGTTTTTTTTTTAAGGTCACTGTCACACTATCCCATTGTGTTACATTAACATACATGTTACATATTAATGGAGCTCATTCTAAATGTAAACGTGCATTGGTACCCAGTGACATGTGTGGTGGTTGGAGGAGCTTCTAGGCAGACACCATATTGGGAGGAGGACACTGCAGAGGCGACTGTATCACTCAGTGCCCAGTTCAATACCTCAACCCTGCCTGATTCAGATGAAAATGGCCACAAGCAGCTGACACAGGCGTCAGGAACCATTGCCTACATATTTACTGTACAAAGGTTTTATCATGTGAGTACAATATCTGAAGGTTTTATTATCCTATTAGTGATGTGCACTAACAATATATTTTTACATCATCAATATAAAAACAAATTTCTTCATAAACTTAGGACAAAATGTATTCTGCTACATATGTTTGGTAAAAAAAAGACCCACTAAGTATATATTGATTGGTTTGCACAAAAGTTATACTAGTTTTTATACTAGTAATGGCAGCGATCAGTGACTTATAGCGGGACTGTGATAGCACGGCATGCAATCTGACACTAACTGGCACTTTGTGGGAACTGACTAACTGCCACTGACATCTCCAGTGACACTAATACAGTGATTAGTGCTAATAATATACACTGACACTGTGCTAATGACACTGATCAACTTGTGCTGTGATTAATTACGCACGCCTCCTAGCCAGATGACGTATCAGATATGTGATGCGACGCAGGAGAGCCGCTCTGCCACCGTACTCATATGTGAGGTGGTCGGCAAGCGGTTAAATTACACACAAATGTTTTTTGTTTTTTTAAGTTGAGTTTATCATGTCCATTCCTGCCTTGTAAGCCTCAATGTTAGCGAATGCAGTTGTGAACCCCCATTAAAATACCATTAGGAAAGTTTGGGAGATGAGCAGGATGAAATCATGCCTATCCTTTGCAGAACATTTCAAGATTACCACATTTTGCTGACTGTTTTGATGTGCATTTTTCAGTTAGAATAACATCTGCTTCTGCATTTCATTTCATCATATACTTAGTTTGTGTCTGATTCATTTTAAGGAAGGTGGGGTCTAAGGAAAGTAACTATCAGTGACACTAGAAAAGATTCCTTTTAAACACTTGTCCTCCAGAGGATTTATCTCCCTTTCTGACTAGACCATTTTTTGTGATACGGTACTGAGTTACTTTAACGGACAATTGTGCGGTCATGCAACACTGTACATAAATGAAATTTCTGTATTTTTTCCCCACAAATAGAGCTTTCTTTTGGTGTTATTTGACCACCCCTTGGTTTTTTATTTTATACACTATAAACAAAAAAAAGACAGACAGTTTTGAAAAAAAAAAAAACAATATTTTTGACTTTTTGTTATAAAAAAAACATATCTAGTAAAAGATCAAACTTCATCATAAATTTAGGTCAAAATGTATTCTGCTACATGTCTTTGCTCAAACAAAAGCCCCAATATGTGTAAATTAATTGGTTTACATGAAGGTTATAGTGTCTACAAATGGCGGTATATATACTGGAATTTTTATGATTTTTTTATACTAGTAATGGCAGCGATCAGTGACTTATAGCGGGACTACGGGACTAGGGCGGGCATTCTGACACTGGGTGGGAACTGACTAACTGCCACTGACATCCCAATGACACTAATATAGTGATCAGTGCTAATAAAAAGCACTGACACTGTACTAATGATGATGATTATTACAATGTTCATCCATCATGTTTGAAGAGGACCTTGACATCTAACAGGTAGTGGGCTGTCCACGGTGTGTCTGTAGGTGGCTAGTAAGGCATATACGGGCACAAAATGTTCTGCCATGTTGGGCAGACATATGTGGGCGCCACTGTTGCAGCATTTGCAGCTCTGGCTTTGCAGAGTGTTCGCTTCTCTTGTGCTATGGTTGTTCTTCTCTCCTCAAATGTCTGGCAGCCTTGGTGGTTCAATGTGTGCCCTGTTGATCGATCTTTTGCCATGGTTTCCCAGAAGGTGATGTTAATATCCAGGGACTTGGAGGAGGCTTTCAATGTGTCTTTGTATCGCTTCCTTTGTCCCCCTTGCATTCGCTTTCCTTGAGACAGCTTACCATAGAGGAGCCGTTTAGGGATACAGTGGTGTGGCATTCTTGCAACATGGCCTGCCCAGTGTGTCTGGGCTTTTATCAGCAGGGTGTGAACTGATGGCAGGCCTGCTCTGGAGAGGACTTCTGTGTCTGGCACCTTGTCCTACCAACAGATCCTCAGAAGTCTACAGAGGCAGGCTATGTGGAAGTGGTTCAATTGCCTAGCATGCCTTCTGTATAAAGTCCAAGCCTCACTGGCATACATCAGGGAAGTTAGCACTACTGCTTGGTAGACTTTGAGCTTTGTGGCAAGGCTTATTCCACGGTGGTCCCACACGTTGGTCAGTAGTCTGCCAAATGCAGAGCTTGCCTTGGCAATTCTGCAGGTGACCTCAATGTCACCTGTCACTGCGCGGGATAGGGTGCTGCCAAGGTATGTAAATTGTTCCACTGCTTGCAGCTTTTGTCCCTTCACTGTGATGGTAAGCTCTTGGAGTTGGGCTTTCGGAGCTAGC